ATCTCAGGTTACAGTTCGCTGTGTTCCTGAAACAGAGCTTTGACAAGCAGCGATCACGTCTGAGTGCCCTCATGTGTGAACCCCTGCACTCTGAGTGCACTTAAGTACCCACCCATCACAAGAACCATGGCCTCAAGCAGCAGCTCGAGAGCGCACGATATTCAGTGATAATGAGATGCCGTCGGAAGCCTTAAAATTAAGACGTGGAGAGTCCATGTAAACGTTACAAGCAACATTACAAACAAACGCTCTTGTTTGTGCGAAAAATTTTCTACATTGAAAGGAACTTTAGTTTTTAGTGAAAAAATTAGTAATGATGGTGATGAGCTCTTCAGCATATAAACTTCGAGGGCGATCAGTAATGAACTGAAGTATTCAGAATTTATCTGTATAGCAGTTGCAACCGAACTTAGAATAAGTCATTATGAAGAATGTCTTAGAAGAACACTCAACATTATCGTAACAGTGGAAGCTTATATAATAAGTCACTTAGTGCGAAAATCAAAACACGTGATATTCTGATATGGCATAAAAACATTCGATTGCTGCATATTCGTACAATTTATATTTGGAATCACGCACATTTCTCCGATTCTGATTTGCTCAATATCGTAAACAAATTCATTTGCTGCACATTTCTCCATGCAGGCGGGAAACACTTTCTTTGGAAGCACATTTTTTCAGTCGTATCATACAAATTAATTCCTCTAGTTTAAATGAGTCAATGGCATTATACTATGTATATATTATCAAATAGATGGCGCAACAGATCACTTCAAGTAAAACCATGCAGTGGAGGCTTACGGGTCTCACAAGAGATCCTATTGGTCGAGTTATATCTCTTATGGTAAATAACATATGACGTCCTGCACGCTGCAGAGCCTTAATTTGTCTGACCTTACTTGAATACTTTATTTCAGCACGTTAACTGCTTTTTGCACGCTCTAAACACTCCCCTTCCTAACGCTAAACACTTTTATTTGCATGTTAATCACCGATCTTTGCTCTATTAATGCTTTTTAGGATTGTTTTTTATTCTTTGCTTGTCTAAAATCTTCGTCGCCGCTAAGTGCTTCATTTCACCACGAAGGGAAGTTGAAGGGAGTGTTCAAGGCGCCACAGAAGGCGTCAGTAACTTAGTGCGTACGTACCAAAGACTTTTTACACGCCTTGCCGTATACCGGATGTTTTAATGGTCATAATATTACGCTGTAAGAGACCCGTGTGTGTTAGTCAATGGAGTCCATTAGGACACTTCCGCTCCTTCTTTACCATCTTCATCGTTATCCTCAGTCAAATCCCTTTATTCTACATCCATATCAGCACACGCAATACTCTGGGTTAGAGCACTTTATTCTACATGCATATATTCAAACGCGTTATGTATCGTTATTCATGTTGAAAGAGGGTTGAATTCGACGTCAACTTCTTATATACTTTCTACTGCGCTACCGTTTTTTCTTCCGGTTATCTTATCATTCACAATCAATCATTGAGCGCATGAATAGACATCTAAAATATTTTATAAATAATAAAAATTTCATTCGTGTAAGACCCGGATCGAAGTAGCCCCCCTACCATAAATACCGAGCCTAAATGGCAACTGATGAATTAATTATTGGCGGCTTATCGTCGGCCAATCGTTTTTTTTTTTGTGCTAAAATTTCTGCTGGTCAATGGTGTGTTATATGTATCTTTCATTGTTGTAATGGAATAATTAATATGTATTAAAGATGTAATAGATAGATCTAAGATATAATATAATAAATAATAAGGCGTAAATATATATTAATATATATTGATAGCCTTAAAAGGCAATCGAAAGGAGAACAGGAGACCATCGAATATTATCATTTTCTTTGTACATTTTATACCTCTTTACCTTATATGTATCATATTGTCTCACGTTAATTATAAAGCAAAATGTAAATGTAAAGCAAGCCCAATTAAGTTACCATGGCGTACCCTAATAAAAAATAATGCATCCCAAATTAAATTTTTTACCCCAATTTATATTGGTGTGTAACAATTTAAAAAGGCAAGTCCAAATTTTAAATTATGGATCTCGATTTTTAATGCTGTATCCTATTTAAGATAACGTATCTGAATTTGCCATTGTACAGTGTATATACCAATTTAAGAAGGAATATTCCAATTTGAAATTGTGTATTTATAATGAATCACACCTGCCGCTTAGTGAATACAGTAATATAAATTTGGCATTGCCTGCGCGTGATCCTCTGTAAGTGGATCTACTCCCCCAGAAATAAAAAGATAGGCGAATATATATACCAAGAATAAGCTGGGATAACAGGGATATTTTGGAAACAAACTTTAATGAATTGTTGACAGACGTCAACCATCGTAGTGCGATAGATCCTCGTCATTGGTGACACGCAATCGCCTTCTTTCGTCATTTCTTCGTCCCTTGGATGGTGACTAAGAATATTGGAGCCTCTTGAGCTTTGCCCTTCAGATGCGACCCTCTGGAATTGTGCTTTAACCAATCACAGCTGGTTTCCCTCACTCTTTGTAAGCCAATCGAGCCGTTTTCCCCTCGTTCTCGGTCTCTGATTGGACGAGCGCCGAGTTTATCCCCTCACAGACCCCGGTAATTGGCAGGATCTGTGGTTCTGAGGCTCGTGATTGGACGGCGAGGTCACAGAAATAGGCGCTCGCTTTGATCACGCTTGAGGATTGGTTGTTGACGAGCTCATCACCGTTACGGATCATCGCTGGTTTAATGGGCGGCCATTGGCTGGTGCGATACAAACGCAGAAGCCGTTTGTCGCGGTCACCCATCAAGTCGCCGCGGGCGAGTCCGCAGTCGCGGCACCGACGAGACGCCGCGGCGATCACAGTGGATAATTGTCCGGGAATTATCGGTGTCTTTCGCGGGCCATTCGTTGGCCGACATTGTGCCTTCTGAGACTTTAGTAATGAGTATCATGTTTACGTATATTTTACAGTGCGCTAAAAGTTGTAACGTGACGGAAAATGATTCTTTAATTACTTCTAAAAACATTGGTGTTTGGCAAAGACGTTTCACGAATGCGTCTGCTTTTGAACGAAAAGAGAATGCACAAAACTGTTACTTAATTATATGGGACTATGTATGAAAATTCACTTGCAAGAAAATGCAAATGTTCTGCATTTTATTTTTATTATTTTTTAGCTTGTAGAGTGCGGAGTTTTTAAAATGCCTCATGAGAGCAAATTTGCAGATTACAAACATTGCAAGTGATATGAAATGTGTTGAGTTATACATATTGCATCTGTGTATTTTATCGGGGTTTTTAATCGGGTTGAGACACTCCGAATGATAAATATGTTCAAACCATTGCTTGGAAATGACAAAAAATTAATAACATTCACATTTCTATAATAAATATTTATTTAAAAGTTAAAGTGAATAAATCTGAAAGAAATAAAGCATTTATTGTCAATAAAGGGAAAAATCACGCGCCTCATTAAAACAATTTTCACGTTCTGTTTACATCACCTCATTCATATTTAATTATCATTACCTTATTTATCATATTTAATATTAATTATTGGACTTGACTTTTTAGTTGTACGTAGCTATTGCATGAGAAGATGGGCGCGTCATCGGTGGCCAGTGGTCGGCCTTCTATATACCATAAGCGTGCATTGCATGGCCATGCAGGCATTCGTAAGCGCCCGTTGCCATATGATACCACACATACTTACGACAACATAAAACATTTGAACGATATTTTATGGGAGAAAATTAAGTCACAGTCTTTCTCTGAGCATCAATCTAGTAAATAAACATTCCGTATAGCTTTACAAATACATATGCGTCATGTTCTAATAATGCATCGTGTTTCGTTGGATTTTTCATCGTAATTGATTTTATTACAAACAGTGATTATTTTACTGCGTTTCAATCAAATTCTAAATATCTGTCATGTTTCTTAACATTCATTCTCATTATAAAATTAATTACTTCTGAACATCCATCCTGTTCTATATGACATTTATTATTTCCTGAACATGTAACATGTTTCAGAACCTGACATATCTTTTTAAATATCATCCATGTTCTAAACAACCATTATTTTCTCAACATCTGTCATAACAGATGAAACAACTTGATATAGAAGCAAAATTATTTTTTAGCATTCATTATTTTCCGATAATCAATATTTTAGGAATCCTATATTCTGTTCCATAAAATCCGTCATAGTCCTACTAAAGATTTATTAAATTTCGGAGACCAGTAATCATGCATTAATGTGTAATCCATGACAAAGCATCATCCGCACACAGTGCCATCCATACATTCATTCATCGCTGCATGCCTTCCATTCATAAGTGGAAAGCCCTCGTTGTGTAATTATTATATTTTATTTTTTCGATTGAATCTTCGTTCGGCAAATCTGCTCATCTGCGATGCGAAAACAAGTGGCTTTTCTCTGAAACGGTCAATAGATTTTTTAACTGCTTATTTATTATAATTTTTAAAAAACTTATTCATATTTTTATGCACCCAACTGAATTATTGAACAGCAAATTCTTTATATCGATAACTTTACTGAAATACTATGCACACATTTTCTAAATTCAAAATATTTAATTTTTTTTTCAATTTACCATCCCGTTTAAAATTGGGATGCCTTTTCGTTTTACTCTCGGAATAAGAGGACATAGTTCAGAGTATCATTAGATCTTCAATTGCAAGAGATTCCTTCAAATTTAACCTCCATCTGCCTTACCTCAGAAATAATCTTGATTAATTAAAAATTTTTTACTTCTTTCAAATCACAGAAAATCTCGGTTCAACTTGATATATGACATGCGATAAATATTGCTATTTACTGCAATAGTCATAATATAGAATGTAGTAAATATTGATGAATATAGTGTTAAAGTAAGCTATTTAGGAGCACATATCAAGACATCTTCACTAGCATCAATACCTCAAGTGCGCGTGAAGAAATCAGTGAGCATCAGCAGTGCAGAGCGAGGCTGTCACAATGGAGTTGCTGCAGCAGCGGAGTAGCGGCCACGCGTCGCGCTCTACAACATCCTTCCTCATCGACGACATCCTCCTGCACAGACCCAAGGTGACCTGTTGACCCAAGGTGACCTAGCTGACCTTTGACCCAAGGTGACCTAGCTGACATGTTGACCCAAGGTTACCTAGCTGGTCTGCTGACCCAAGGTGACCTAGCTGACCTGTTGACCCAAGGTGACCTAGCTGTTTGACCAAGGTGACCTAGCTGGTCTGTTGACCCAAGGTTACCTAGCTGACCTGTTGACCCAAGGTGACCTTGCTGACCTGTTGACCCAAGGTGACCTAGCTGGTCTGTTGACCCAAGGTTACCTAGCTGACCTGTTGACCCAAGATGACCTAGCTGACATATTGACCCAAGGTGACCTAGCTGACATATTGACCCAAGGTGACCTAGCTGGTCCGTTGACCCAAATTGACCTAGCTATGTGCTGTTTTATGCAACACGGCTCAAGACTACTTGTCCTGAAACTTCGCTTCTACAAATAGACTAATATTTGAGGTCATTGTGAACGGCAGGTAAATAAAATAATTGAAGTTATTGAGGCTTGTCATCATAACTTTTAAATATTAAACATATTTTAAAGCTTTACATATATAATAACATAATATTTTATTTAGCGATACAAATAGTAACATTTTTTTCTTGTTGTTTATGCGTAATTTTTGTTGTTTTAAACGTAGCTTTAAAAGGATAATTATGCTTAAAAATAGAAGGACATTGTTATAACTTTAGAAATTTCTCTGATAGATCGGACTTTCATTGGGAAGATAAAATATATTAACGCTGATTTATGAAATAACCGGCATTTGTGATGCAACGCCCACGATGCTCTAATTTTAAAGATTAAAGAAAATTTACAGATTTCGAGTTTAAATTCAATGAAAACTTACTTTTAGAAAATAGTTTTCAAATCCTCACGCCGCTAAGCGATGCCATGTGATACCAACATTAGAAATAAAATGTCATGTCCTGCAATAACCTAACATGGCAGATATGTATATATTGTGGATATACACGCCCGAACAGCCTCTGTTTACTATACTGCGCCTGTCTATACGCAAACTCTCATGAATATTAAACATATTAATGAATCATCGATAATACAATAATAATCTAAGATGTTGCAGCGAGATACCAGGCCTTCTGAAGACTGACAATTAAAAGCTGTATTCGTTTTCAGTCCCTTCATTCATTGTGAATCTCAACGTGACGTACGTTATCTATACTACACTCGTCACGTTATCTATATGATAGTCATATAGATAAGTCACGTTATCTACACGACACTCATATAGATAAGTCACGTTATCTACACGACACTCATAAGTCACGTTATCTACACGACAATCATATAGATAAGTCACGTTATCTGCACGACACTCATATAGATAAGTCATGTTATCTACACGACACTCATATAGATAAGTCACGGTCATGTTATGTCATGTTATCACACGACACTTGAATGGTTAATATAACTCATATGTTACGTGGCGGCCAGTACTGACGTTTTAGTCAATATGGGCTCCGATTCGATCATTATTTTCATATTACAGAACTTTGATTTCCATATGCGCATAACAGTACAATAAAATTGTGATGTAAGGATATATGAAATAATCACAATAATTGTTTAATATGTGAATGCAATTGCAATAACGGCTATACCAATTCCTGTCGAGTGATGAATCTTCGCCGCGCGTCTTGCTTGATAAAAATTTCTACCTAAAGCCTATATATTGAAGTCATGAACATTATTGTCATAATTTCAGATCATAGCTGCATCAATGCCTTATTAACTACCATTAACTGCATTAATGCCTTCTAAGTTGATATGATAAATAGATAAAACGTCTTCTACCACAATTTCAATAACGTGTCTTTATTATTTTAAACTAACCTATGAATTTACGAGTGTAAGCAGGGGATTGAAATAGATGAGAAGATCAGCCGCCCATTAGACAGCTCCAATAACCCGACAGGTTGCACCCACTGCAGGTCCACTAAACTGCTGCGCGAGGTGCAGTTTTGCTTCAAGTTTATACCTTCAAAATAACTTATTAAAAAGAATGTTCGTGATAGCGCCGGCCATACATCTGCGTTTCAATTGGCCGCCTATAATCCGCCACACAGTTTTGAGGAAGGTATAGTTTAGGAAAGAACTGAGTTATTACCCCATCTAGAGGTAATTTGAGCCTTTCACAGACAGTTTTATGCGAAACTTTGAACGCAGCGGCATTCGCCGCAACCATCAACTTGTTCGCCCCACAGTCCCCTCCTGTGCTACAATTTACCAAGTTTTCTTAAATGCCGTAAAGTTGGCTCGGGCAATTGCAAAAATTACGCAAATCCAGCGATATTCATGCCTGAAATTCTGGGGCTGAAACTTCATGCAGACGCAACTTGAGAATCATTCCGTGGCTTTGTGAATCACAAGCGGGATGCTCACTACATAAAGTAGAAAATGGCTTCCGATCTTCAATTTGGAACCTAAGACGAGGCGCGATTATTGGAGAGTTGAAATGAGTTATAAATTTCTTAAGCTGGAAAAAACATTGAAATCAAAGAAAGTTTTCAAACTTCCGGAAGCCTAAACCAAGCCTATCATGTTTCCCCTTAATAATAAATGACATGAAAAAATACCTTTCTTCATGATTATACATAAAATTCATGGAATTGATGAAACAAATTATGTATTAATGAAATGATTCATATTTTTACTTAACTTTTTGTTGGCTTTCATATTTACAATAAAAAAGCATCCAATTAACGCTTTTCCCCAGAATTGTCGTAATTTTATTTTAAAAAATTATTTTTAAAGAAAAATCCGCTGGCCCCGAACGGAAAAATTCCTCACTAGCTCAGGCAGCTGCGAGAGAGAAGTCATATTGTAGAGAAACGAAGAGTCTTGTGCTACAATTTCATTATTTCATGCCTCAAGCTTCCTAATTTTAGTGCTTACTTCTACCCGCTAGATTCTATAGTTAGACTGTCCCAGCCTCCCTTCTTGTAGATTCTTCCTTCCTAGAATTTTTCCTAGCTTCGCGTCTAAATTCTAGAATAACCTAAATAAATGTAAAATAAATAATAATAAAAAATAACCTAAATAAATAAATAAACGGATAGCTGGGCAGGGTGGCCCAGTGGTTAAAGTTAAGAGTACCAAGATTGGCGCAGAGAGGCGCGGGTTCGATCCCAGCTCTGCATGCGCCAGTTTCTGGTCAGAATCGGGCCCGGCGAGGAGGCCGGGCGGTTAAGCACAGCAGAATTGTAGCAGTGAGTTGCGAGTTCAAGACCGCAACAAGCTGTGAATGTTCTGCGATGTTAAGAATCGGCGACAGGCCTACGGCCTAATAAACGCTGAAACCACTATTAAAAAAATAATTAATAATGCTAAAATAATCAATTTCTTATATCTTTACCATACAAAAATATCCATGTCCAATGCTCTTTTTCTCTCTATGATTTCTCCGTTTCACGATTTTACTGTACCATTCGTTTGATTTCAAATGGCACGTATAAGACTATTTCGATCATGATCATGAAACAGGTACAAAAATAACGTTGTGAAAGTGTTCTCACTTTGTGCTGATGCCTCCACCGCTGATTGTTTCAACAGTTCCCCTGATTGTTGTCATTGTTTTAGGTTCTGTTAGTTCCAACCTCCGCCGCTGATTGTCATAGACTCTAGACCGAACTCTCAGTGGTGATTGCTCGCTCATGATTGTCCTGATCAGCGACAGAAGTTGAGATTGCCACAGCCTCAAAGTCACTTCCAGAACTCGCTTCGGCATTATAATGCTGGTCGGCCAATGGTCGGCTTACGATCGGAATTTGAGTGGCCGACGATTCGCCGGCCAAGGTTTGGCACTGCATTACTGAACGTCTTCGTGATTGAGTAATATGATACCAACTTACGTCCATTACAGTAGTTAACCATGACGTACCCATTTGTGATATTATTATCCTTTCAACTACGACAATTGACTGCGACAAACGTAATTTATTGTATTCTTATTGTATTCCATTACAATATTTTACCAGAATAAAGCCCATTCGTGGAAACATCATCTATTCAATTACAATACTTACCATGAAAAACATCATCTTTGATATTTTTATAACTGCGATGAGAAACATAATTTGTGATCTAAATATATGTTCACGTACACAGCCAAATATGTTGAAAAATTGACACGAAATTAACTCAATACAGCAGCAGAGGTCGTTTTATTTTGAATGTACAAAAAACTTTAAATGTTATCGCCATGTACGTTAAGATTTTATTTGTCACCTCAATACACTAAATAAGAGTTCTTGGAATGCGGAGTCGTCCTTTTCCTTTTGTCTTCTCCTTATACTTTCCTCCCAGCTCTTTCACCCTGAGCATCAATACTATTACCCCTGATAATTCATACTTTTCACCCAGACTACTCCTACTTTATTTTACTCACGCCTACTTCAGCCTACTCCTGAGAACACGTACTCATCCACGAATTCGTGCGTCTGCTTTCCCTCACGGTAGTTGCCCGGTAGCGCTAATGGTTAAGTAACCGTAGCCTTCTCATTACACAGAATTATCTATTTATTAGCTCTGATAAAGCGTGCTTTATCGTTGTACTGATTGGATCTGTCGCACGTGTTCGACTGAATAGAGCCGTAATTGCCTTGGCTTCGGCGCCACTATTGCTCTTCTGTCATCAGTCCCTTAGAACCAATTTCGGTTGCGCCTAATTCCGACGTATAGGATTTCGTCCTGGAGTAGCATAAGGTTGATTATAGACGATACCAATGGCCAGGGCCACGGGAAAATAGGCTTAGGGATATCGGCACCCAAGGTCGGAAAAGAACAACTGTCCCTCAGCAGCAAAAGGCCATTGCAGACGCCATTCCATGGCAAGTCTTTTGGCTGATCCAGACGCTGTTTTGGGTTCCACTTGGGAACCGAGGAGAAAAGATGCAGCGTTGCTCTTCACATTGAGAACCGAGGAGAAAAGATGCAGCGTTGCTCTTCACATTGGGAACCGAGGAGAAAAGATGCAGCGTTGCTCTTCACATTGAGAACCGAGGAGAAAAGATGCAGCGTTGCTCTTCACATTGAGAACCGAGGAGAAAAGATGCAGCGTTGCTCTTCACATTGAGAACCGAGGAGAAAAGATGCNTCTTCACATTCTGAACTAAGGGGAAAAGATTCAACGTTGCTCTTCGCATTCTGAACTAAGGAGAAAAGATGCAACGTTGCACTTCGCATTCTGAACTAAGGAGAAAAGATGCAGCGTTGCTCTTCACATTCTGAACTAAGGAGAAAAGATGCAGCGTTGCTCTTCACATTCTGAACTAAGGAGAAAAGATGCAGCGCTGCTCTTCGCATTCTGAACTAAGGAGAAAAGATGCAGCGTTGCTTTCCACATTGAGAACCGAGGAGAAAAGATGCGGCGTTGCTCTTCACATTGAGAATCGAGGAGAAAAGATGCAGCATTGCTCTTCACATTGAGAATCGAGGAGAAAAGATGCGACGTTGTTCTCCACGTTCTGAACTAAGGAGAAAAGATGCAGCGTTGCTCTTCGCATTCTGAACTAAGGGGAAAAGATGCAGCGTTGCTCTTCACATTCCGCTGCTGTCAAATTCATGTTAGAGCTACGATGTTAAATTTACGAATAAAAGAAGGCTTTTAAATTTTAAGGTACGATCGTTGAATTATTTAAATGATGATCTTCAATAATGTTTACGTTATTGGTCTTCGGTTTTTGAACTTCAGTGTCAGCGCCGGGCTACGACGTAGTCTGTTCTCCCCATCATCCCCGGTTTCCAAGTAACTTGGTTTAGTTTATTTTGATGTGCAGCAATACTTTAATAACTTCTGAACACTAAACAATGCTATATTGTCCTAATAGTGACGCACTTCCTTACCCACATTATGAGACGAAAGTGTACGTAGCACTCATATGCCCTTTTGACACGCCAAAACTCGCAAATAGGATACTAAGGAAATAAGGGCTTAAAGTGCATCATTATTACGACAATGTCTCGTCATTTTACTGAGTGTATTGACCTCGCTACGGTACGTTACGGTGACGGGAGACATGCTCGGTGCATGTATTGTATATTCAGGCTGCACGCAATTGTTGAAGAAGATACAATGTAACGGAGTGAGGAAAATATTTAGTTACTACAGTGATGCCTGTGTGTCACTGCAACCACTGCACTCAATAATATAACCTAAACAGCATATGCATGGTCACTGTATTAATAAACACGCCTCACTGCAGCCACTGCACCACGGACGTATTCCTAAAGCACGTATTCCTTACACGTACAGTACTGCGTAAAGCTATGTAAAGCACTGCGCGGCAATCACTGCACCTGTACACATGTACGGCGAAGTCACTGCACCTGTACACATGTACGGCCGAGTCACTGCGTAAGCAAACTTTTACGCAAGCGTATCGCGGCGTAACGTAATCGCGTTAGCTGGCCGAGGGGCGCCGCTCTAGGGTTTGACGCGGGGCCTTTAATATTGCTGTACGTTTAATATTACTGGATTTATTATAACAGACCTTTGATAATACTTGATTTTATTATTACTTGCCTTTAATATTAACGAATTTTATTATTACTGGCCTTTAATGATATTGGCCAATGATAAATACTGGTCTTTACAGTGACGTCAACCCAGATGTACTAAAAGTATGTATAAATAGGATGCGTAAATGAACTAATTCAAGCGCGTTTAGGACGAATTTTGGCAACGAATTTTCATAGTAAATTTCCCACGCATGATTTTGTCAAATAAAAGTGATCTTGACCTAATTAAAATCAAAGTTATTTATTCATAATAGGCTCCTGAGCGAGCTGTTAGAATTCGTTTCGTCCGCTCTGATTTTATAATATAGTTCGTGCGCTCAACGCAAATTACAGCACCCCTTGCACGCTTAACACAAGGCGAAATTGTGACAATGGCATCTCAATGCTTTAATTAATGATAACATCGCTTCTATGAATGGCAGGACGATTTTGCTCATGATGCAAGGTTGATTAACCAAAGAACTGAGGCAAAGAATTCATTTGGGTTTGAATTGCCATAAGGATCCTATTTAATATGCACTCAATTCATGACTGTTTTTACAAAAAAAAGTTATTTTAATTTTACTGGGAGTATTACCTAACAATTCAGAAGTTCCATCTCCGTTGCTGGTGACCCTGGAGTACTGAACGTTGCTCCGTTCAGCACTCCGTTGCTGATGACACTAGTGCCCCTTTAATAAATTTTCAAGAATTTGCTTATAATTATTCGGCGAATGCATGTTGGAACGTTCTTCCTGGATGCAAAAGCACTCATATTTACAAGCAGAACGCCAACATGTTCCAGCGAACGCACTAGTTTGCGCGGCGCGCGCCACCGTCAATAATGGCGCGTGCGGACGGTTAGTGACAGACAGTTCGTGGAGGGATGAGGGTGCCGCTTAAAGAAGGCTCTAATTATCTCCTAAAGAGGGCAGAAACTTAACTCCCAAATCAGGGGGGAAACCGAGTGCCTAATTTGCCTTAAAAGCCTTCACTCTAACCCGTGGGAAGGCCTTGTGTTCTGCATGGGACAGCATCATCAACGATTCATGTGAATGCCGTGCATTTTACGACGATGGTTCTCTTTAAACGATTGGCTAATGGAGTTTAAAATACATGGTTGGATGCTGCATCGAAGATATCTCAATTATTTTCAAAGTTTTTTGCAAGTACCAAGAAGCGCGAACGCCAGCGGCAAAATAATGGAGCAGTGCTTTCCAATTATTACGTCCATCACAGACGAGACATATCGATATTAAATGAACATAGAATATCGCAATAATTACTGCCATCTTCAAACTATTAGTGACTTGGTAGCAGACCTCATCATGGTCATGGTTGAACTTTCGATCATAGTTGCACTTACACGGAGTTGTGAGTATAACGTTCGTCGTTATACTTATAATATAACTTGTTTATATAATATAATATAATGTAATGTAATATATTATAATATAATATAATATAACATATTATAATATAATATAATATAACGTTATATAATATAATATGAACAATTGAACATGCGACCATCATAAACTTACGGCATTATTGCATTTCTGCTCACCTTAGATTTTTTTAGTCCTAAGACGAAATATTATTTTACGATTGTCGTAACCATAATTGAACATTCAATGGTGATTTTTTTACGATTTTCGTAACCATTAGTTAACCATGGTCGTAACTATCAAGTTTTCCTCGTGACAGGCATCACGTGACGTGATCGCGGTGACGTCATCGATGGTGCGGGCGACGTTCAGCGAGTCGTACGCTGTGGCGGCCGCAGCTGCTGCTGCAGGCGTCATGCATAGTCCTGCATCTGCCGCAGCTGTGGCCGCAGCTGCAGCATACCTGCACCCACATCACTACCTGCACAAGCCCGAGGCACACTTCATGTTCCCTGCACCTGGTGAGGCAGAAGCGTTCCCCAGTAAGTTATCTAGTTAAAAAAAACAGTATTTGCTTCTAAACCGACACCCGTTTCAATATATAGGCTAAATATGGTACAAAATTTGAATTTTATTCCTTATGACTCTTATGGCTAATATTTCAAGCTGTTTCAACGTTTATTCTGTAATTACAAATTAAATGTCTTATAATAAAGCCATGTCACATTGAGGCTGATTTCTTGATATCGTTGGCTCTTCGTACAATCTGACGCCTTAAATTGGAACAAAGTGGAATTTGACAAGGATTTCAACTTAACTTGATGATAATAAATGATCGCCGTTTGTTGGCACTATTGTGTCTGGCGCAGGACTAGATTTGAACGCGCTGTCCGGCGGCGGGCTGGGGGAGGAATCGCAGATGGCATGTCGCCGTTATTTATTACTTTATCATATGACTTTCTTTCGCAATGATTGCAAGATATGACCGCTAAGTTTGTCTCTGCACTATTGTGTGCGGCGCAGGACTAGGTTTTGGCGGGCTGTTCAGCGGCGGAGTGGCGGAAGGATCTCTGAAGGCGTGTCGGCGGCGCAAGGCGCGCACGGTGTTCAGCGACCAGCAGCTCACGGGCCTCGAGAAGCGCTTCGCCGCCCAGCGCTACCTCAGCACTCCTGAACGCGTCGAGCTCGCCAACGCCCTGCACCTCTCAGAGACGCAGGTATACGCGCCATGAGCTGCTATTTAATCGCAAATCATTTATGTGAGCGGTTATGATAAGCGTATAGTCTACCACCATCGCCCTGCGCCTCTCAAAGACTAAGTTATTCGTTGATGCCGGGCCTCTCAGTGAGGCGCTATTTGGCATAAGACTATAGCATATGACTGATATGAGCGTATGACATATACCGTACGACCATATGCTCAGATGATTGTACGGTATATGCCATACGATGTGATCGTATGGCATTATATACCGTACGATCACACTTGAGTTTACGATTACTATTAACCTCATCTTCTTCGACAACGTCGGCGATTTTAAATTTTAATCGTAAGCCGTTGTGTACTGAAGAGATGCCTCGGTTCCAGGCCTTTTTATCCAAATAAGACATAAAGGAGTGTAGGAATAGGTTATCCGTACACAAAAGGGTAACGACCGAGACTAAGCAAATATTTAATGGGAAACAATGTTACGCAATGTCTTTAAGGAAAGTGAACTTGAGCTCTCACCTCAACTTGGACCGTTTAATGTATCTTGTTATAACCTTGTTTTTGCAAATATTTTATTCGCAATGTAAAATATAACATTGAAGGTTATTGTTTTGGTTGCAGGTAAAAACTTGGTTCCAGAACCGGCGCATGAAACACAAGAAGCAACTGCGCAAGAGCAGCGATGTGGACCGCACCTCATCCATGGATACTTCCACATCCCCACCATCATCCACCACACCTCACCACACTTCACCTCCACCACCATCACATGGTGATGATGAAATCCCACATACACACCACATTCCCCACCATCTCCCCCCCTCTGTCTTGCATGTTATTGTTTTGGTTGCAGGTAAAAACTTGGTTCCAGAACCGGCGTATGAAGCACAAGAAACAACTGCGCAAGAGCAGCGATGTGGACCGAACATCATCCATGGATACCTCCACATCCCCACCATCATCCACCACACCTCACCACACTTCACCACCACCATCATCACATGGCGATGATGAAATCCCACATGCACACCACATTCCCCACCATCTCCCCCCCTCTGTCTTGCACACATCATCTAATTTTCGGCCCCCCTCCCCCTTACAAAAAGTGCTCATCAACCCCCATCAGATGCACCCCCCGGGGGACCAGGACACACCAGACCCCCAGAGGGGACAGTTAATGAGCATCTCACCCCCATTGCGAGGGACCAGCTCACCCCCGTACCCCACACTTCGACTAGAACGCTCACCCACTCCTGAAGGCAAGTCTTGGAAATCCTAAATGTTACTTTACGCAAATTTCTGCAACAATCGAGGAAGTTAATTCGTTAGGACATAATTTAATTTATGTTTCCATTAAAGTAATAATTGGAAGCAAGGACGGAATTTTATATAACACAGTAATACTTGGCCCAATTCAAAATGGCCGAATGCCCACTTTTGCGAAGTTGGTATGGGGAAATTGATAACTTTGTGCATCAGTTTTCCCCATTGATTATATGATGACCATGAGTACGATGCGTGTAGTGATGCCAAACTGCGTAATTTTGGCTGACGATGTATTGCAACATCAATTTACATCAACTGTCATGGGCTTATGTTATTTGAGGAACGTACGACCAGTTTGAATAATGATTTAGATTTATTGATATATTAACCATTGATGCATGTTTTTACATCAACCATTGATTTATGGTTTTACATCAACCATGGAATTATATATTTATATTTGTGATCAATTCTCCGCCATTTTTTCTGAGATTTTGTCGTAACTGTCAATAGTAACAGCGACCCCCTCCCTCCCCTCCCCCCACAGCACACGTCGGGGGGCTGTACATGAGGGGGCAGGGGGGCGACGAGGGGCTCATGGTGGGGGGCGACGGGGGTCGAATGGCAGGGGTGGGGG